AGCTTTTGGAGGCACCTCATATTGAAACTATAACAAGTAGTCTTTTCATCTATCAAATAGGTGTATGAAAACTTAACCTTGTTTAAGGATTGTTCTGATATTTAAACAAGTTAAAGTTTGTCAAGTTTGGGGTATTATGGGGAATGACCATAAATTTCTTTCTCCTTCATTTCATTTAAATCCAATATTCACTGACACTGGTTACTATTATCCTAAGTAAAGTTTTTCTCATTTACTTGCAGTAAATGGGACGTGACTTTTAGTACTCTGTTTTTAAAAGTTATAAAAAATGTGGAAGTATCTAAAAAGATGACCAGTTGACAATAGATTTTACATTAACATGAAGTTGATTTCACTCTAAATCTTCTGGGTTCCCAGGCAGGCATCTTTTTATCAAGGAGAAAAATAGTAGTCCACAGTAAAAGTAAAAATAAAATCTCTGGGGCTTGGGATGTGGCTCAAGCAGTAGCGCGCTCACCTGGCATGTGTGCGGCCCGGGTTCAATCCTCAGCACCACATACAAAGATGTTGTGTCCACCGAAAACTAAAAAATAAATATTAAAATTCTCTCTCTCTCTCTTAAAAAAATTAAAAATAAAATCTCTAAAGCCAAAGGACACACCCTTAACATTCTGGGCTTTTTAAAATCTGTTTTGTATTAAATGTGTGGGAAAATGTTATGTGTGAAATACAAGGGTGTGAATGACATGTATGTTTGTATTTCAAGATTTGTATCATTATGCATACATATTTTTGTATCTGTTCCTTTACTTACCATTGTATTATGAACATTTTTAGTGCCACTGAGTATTTTCCATGTCATCATGTGTAGAAGTTTATTATAATCCATCATATAATTATATCATAATTTTTATTATTCCTCTTATTAGGCATATAGACTATTGGCAATTGTTCAATGACTTTTTGAATTGACATTGTGATGGACTTTTACTTACATAAATTATCATTCACATCTTTGATTTCTTTCTTTAGAAATGATTTCTAGAAATAGAATCACTCTCAAAGAGTGTGAACTGATTCAGAAATTCTTGATAAACTGACAGTTCCCCCCCCCCCCAGAAAAGGTGTACCAATTTACACTCCTATCAACAGTGCTTTTCACATCATGTTCTTGCCATCAGCATCTTCAGCATCAGTTGATGGGTGAAAATGTAAATAATTTGCATTTATTTGATTACCAGTGAAGTTGAATATTTTGTGTTTACTGGGGAATACATACACATACACATACACATACAAACATATAGGCATTGAAATGTTCTTTCTTTTCAGCAAGTAGATTAAAGACATTGTATTCCATTCACAGTGTTTTTAAAATTTGAATGTATGTCAACAAGCAAACTCTTGGCTAAAAATAATCACCTTTGCAGTAAGTTCAGTCAAATTCATAAAGCATTTTAAAGAGTCTAATTTTGGGATGCTTTCTTAAGAAAAATGCACTACATGATGCTAATGCTTATGAGATTTTCATATCTCCTTTTATGCAGGGCAATTGGTAATTTTGTTGTTTACCCTGGGTTCCCCAACAGTGTTGAACTAGCAACTCTCAAACCTGCCAACATCTGCTTTTGTAATCAAAATTGAAAGATACAACCAAAAGGAAAGATTTAATTTACAAACTGCATAATCTTCTGATTCTGCAGAATTGAAATGAATAAACTTGAAAACATATTTAAGACTCAAGCTGTAGTCAGCATATAACTTAAGACAGGAAAAAGGGGTGAATTTCCTTTCAAAATAAGCACTATGCATAGCTGTACTCCATGAGAGAAAAGAAAAGGCAGTATCTGCAAAACTTACATAATCATTTCCACACCAATCACCATAGTTCAAAAACTCTCTCTGTATGATCTGGTGGTATATATTTACAAATTGCAAAAAAAAAATCAATCATAATTATAGAATTTGAGGTATATGTAGCTGTGTATATTAAATAGCCTTATTATATGTGATTTTTTAAGATGTAAGCTTATGTTTCAAGATGTCAGGTTTGGTACCTAGGATGCTCATCTTTGAGACATTTCTAATCAAATATTTATAATTTGGTGGAAAATAAGTTTTCATAGGAATAAAATGTGGTTCAGGATTCAGCAAAATGAAGGATACGATTGGCAAATAAGGAAGTTTTATAAAGTATTTTCAAAGTGTTAGAGGACCTTAATAAAATAATTTTATTGAGTTAAACATGACTCAGCTTCTAATATTAATTTTGTAAATAGGAAAAACGTAGTTAAATTACCAAAGCACCTTCATTTTAAAGGTTAATTTTGTTATTATTATTATTGAGCTCATGGGGAAATTTAGATTTTACCCTTTTAAAAATGCTAGCTCTTTTTAAACCAATGTACAATTATTTAGCTGCTTTCTATGATATGCATTCAGATCTGCCTCTGTGGGCTCTGGCTACCTAATATAGGAGACAAAAGAATTCTTTATGTATTTGTAACATAAGGTAATGAATCTTATTATTTGGGCACATCTTTCTTCTGATTTGGAGACAGTTTAATTTTTACATCTAGTCTTTAACTAGTGCTTGAGATGAGTGTGACTAAATATTTGAGAGGAATTTCATTTGTTCATTTTAACTGTGGCCCTATCGGAATGTCTTCAGAGCATATCATAGCTAACTTCTCTTTATTTTTAAATTAAAATATACTTTCTGTCATTTATTTATTAATGTAAAACCTTATGTTCATTTCAGAAAAATTGGAATATACTAAAAAGAACAAAGAAAAATGAAAAAAAATGATATATTAGAGCTTACCTATAAATACATGGATTGTAACTCTGCAATGCATCTTATTTAATTTATGTGTAATTGTTTTTTAGAAATGAGATCAAAAAGCCTAGTCATCCATTTGTTACACTGAATATAACATTTTGACATTGCATATTTTATAACTGTCAATAAACATATTTCTGATTGAATTGCCAATATCTAGGTCAGAGATCATTTCAGCCTGAAGATAAATTATGTAGTCTGAAGAGTGTTTGTAATCTTTTAAATTAGATTTCATGTAAAAATCCAGAGGTCCACGTTCTCTTGAAAGATGGGAAGTTTAGCAATGCTGAACCTCATATTCCTGGTTGGCTGCAGTTGTGGGAGCTGCCTGCTTTAGCAGGGGCATGTGTCCTAAATGTATTGCAGTCCTTCCCTAATCTGTGCTTTTGATGTCCCTGCCCAACTCTCAAAGCCAGAAGAATTTGCAAAGGCAGGGATTTGTCTAGTGTAGTGGTTTTTAACTAGCCTTCCTGGTCCTTTGGAAATTTTTGGAAATTCTTCATGCCACCGTGCTTAGAGGGTGCTACTGGCATTTAGTGGGCTGGGGTCAGGGATATGGGGGGCCTGTAACATGAGGAGCAGTTCTGTACCTGGAAGAAATTTTCATGTTTCCTGAATTTTCAAATATCTTTTGGGACACTCATATAGGTAAAACACCTGTTTATAATTATTTGAGTCTAGAAACAAAATCTATTGCACTTACCAAAATTTTATTTCAAAGTTAGCATGCATTGAATTTCTTGAACCACAACTACTGTAGAATTTGTTAAGATTGTTCTTTGTTCATTATTTGAAGGTTTGCTATGAACTGTCCACTACTTAGACAACCATACTACTGACACCAATGTGGCCTGTGGTGCTTGAGTGACACACAACTGGGTTCTGTCTGTGCATTTCCAGCTCCCTTGCTCAGTAGAAGAGAAGGAAGGTTGAGAACTCCTTTAAAGTCTTCTATGAATAAGGAATAATCCTCAGGTCCTATAAGAGAATATTAACTATGCTTCATGTTTTCTTTACCTTTATAGTTTGTAATTTGCCTTGGCATGTTATCTGGATTTCAGTTAATCTTATTTTCCTTTTATTTTATCATGTGCTTGCAAGTCTACTTTATTATATTTATTCTAATACTAGATTTTATTCTAATGTCCACTCAACTATTAACCTTCCAGTCTTTTACTTTCTACCCTTTTTCCAAGGACCATCTTCTTATTTATTTCTTATGAGTTCCAATTTACTCACTGGTAGAAGAGAAAGCACCAGAGAACTTCTTAAATGGGTATATACTCCTGCCTGGAAGTACTTTATTGACTTTTAAAAACATACTTTGTAGCAGTTGGTTGTATAATCTGTGAATTTCCTTTTTAAAGGGTCTGTAAAAGAGGGCAGACAAAAAACTTGTTTCAAAAGTGGGGCTTAGTGCTTGAGAAGCTTGATACTCTAGGTGAGTATCTAAGACAGTATAAGTGCTAAGAAGCTTTCAGTCTTCTGGGAAGACATCACATAGAATAACCCCTGACTGGATTGGGAGGATGCTAAAGGGCACTTAGGATTTCTGATGTGGCCAGCAGACCTGTGTGATTCTGGGAGGAAGACTTCCAGGAGATGCTGAAGAGGTGCCTAAGCCCAATGGCATGTGGGGGTGGGGTGGAGATCTGGGAGGGGGCTTGTGATCATAGTTCTTTTCTTCAAACCTTTTTCATTTTTCCTTCCCTTCTTTCTTCTTTAGAGCTTTGTCTTTTCCTCTTCCTTCCCTGAAGGTGCAAAGCCGCTGATAAAAACGAGAGGAACTAAAGCCATAGGTTATGGTTGTACCGTGTTGGTTTGGGGACTTTGTTTTTACCTTGAACACAGACAAATATAAAGACCTTGGGGGTTGCAATGATGCCCTTGTTCTCCTTCAGTGGGATCTCAGAAGAAAGCATTGCTTATATTTCACTTTATTTTTGGACATTTCCTTAGGTCTGATTAGAAAACATTTATTTATAGAGGTAGAAAATAAATGCAATAATTCTGCTCAAAGTTATTCTTTTTTCTTTCCCTTGTTTCATTAGGTGAGTAACACTGTGTTGGGAAATACTAAGAAGGGAGGGCGACAGTCAAGGACTGCTGGTTTCCTTAGCCTGTCCCAGCTTACTAAATTTAACTCTTTTTTGTGAAACCATCACCACATGTGAATATAATATAAACTGTCAGAAATTCTTTGAAGGGACATTTTCTCAGCCAATCAAAAGCAAGGGTTAATGAGCCTTCGAGATGATTTGGTTTTCATACATTCTTTTTTCTAATTCCATAATCCTTAGATATGGTGGGAAATATACTTCAAAGTGAGTACTCCAGATTTAATTCAAATGCCACCCATTTAAGTAGCTCAGAAAACTGCCTGATCTAGGGTTCTGGGGTGACAGTGTTTTATATATGTTGCAATCTTTCAGAGTTGGATCAAAACATCAAAAGCTTTTTATTTCATTAAAATATGTCTCGGGCTCTGTATTTCTTCTCTTGTTGCAGGCTTTACATCTAGGACACAGTTCACAGCTTCTTCTTCAGGGAATGTTTAATTTTCCCTCATCCAAAGGCTTGTATTTGCTACTTTGTCCTGTATTTTAATTACCAAGCTCCAGAGGAAGAGAGTGGTCGGAGCCAGGGCCCCGAGTTGTGGAAGTTTCTATATCCGGTAAACTGGCTCCATTCCAGGGCAGAATAATTTATCAACAAATGAAACACCAGACACTTCCCACACGTCCTCTGATTGCATTAAAAAAAAAATCACTCCCTTTCCCACCCAAATTGAGTTTGCTTAGAGTATGGAGCCAACAGGCGTTCTCTCTCTTCCTCCTCCTCATTTTGTTGCATGGCTGGTTTCTGTAGTCTATTTGACTTCTTATTAATAGTAAGATGTTCATTCATTAACTCTCTCATGCCTACAAGCCAGATACAGTTGCTCTCTCTGCCCCCTCGTTATGCTGTCTTCATAAAGTCATGGCGTAGCAAGGAAATGAGCTGGAAAACTGATTTTGCTTCTGTAGCATCAGGTACTATTTAACCAGTGGGAGGGACTGATAAAATTAGCAAGTTGACTAACCACTTCCCTTCCTTGTGGCTCTTTAATATTATAACGGATACAGAAAAGTTCAGAAGGACTGGGCTAGTTTTCGAAACCACAGCACACTTTGGTAAAGAGGGAATGCACAACAGAACGGGTGAGTTTCTTTCTTTTAAGTTTTTAAGAGAACTATGAAAAGGAAATTGGGGTGGATGGTTTTAAGTTTGACTTTGCAAATAGTATTTAGTAATTTGTGGGCTGTGGAAAGATAAACCTGCTAGGAGAAGGGAGACAAAAGCTTTTCCAACCAGCAGCAGCAGCAACAGCAGCAGCAGCAGCAGCAGCAGCAGCAACAACAATAACAACAACAACAAAAATTAGAGTGAGCAAAGAATTCAACTCTGTTAATATCTTTACTATTCCTGATAGGGAAGATGAAAATATTTTGAAAATATTTTTACTAGAATTAGTAAATTCTGTTTTTGATCAATGAGTTCCTGTACTCATAATTCTTGAAATTTAGTGTTGTCAACAGAGGCACTGTCTATGGAACCTCAATGTCCCTCTGGATCCTGACCAGCTAAAGGTCTTCAGTTATCTTCTTCTTTATGGTTGAAATTTTTATTACTTTTAAATTTTTGATATCACAGAATTTCAAGCAAATGAAAATAGAATGAGTAGCTCCCCATGCACCCCTCACACAGCTCCCACAGTTAGGAGCTCAGGCCCACACTATTTCTTCCACACCTCTGTGCTGTGTACCCCCTTCACTCTTATTGAATTGCAATATTTTGAAATGTGCCCATAGTGAACAGTAAATGAAAGCAGCCTAAAATCCCCTAAAGGATCACACCAGCTTGGTAATTTAAGTTTTAGAGAAATATTATGACAGAAAATTGAATTATGAATCACAGAAAGCAAGACCAAGTTTCCAAGGGTTGGTTTTTCCAGTGAGAGCAGGAGTAGATGATAGGATTTAAGATCATGAAATCTGAAGCCAGACTGATTGAGGTCACATTCTCAGTCTGTTGTGACACAATGTCCTTGAGGAAGTTTCTTAACCTTTTTATGTCTTGTTTTTCTCACCTGAAATTGAAGATAATAATACTGACCTCCTGAGGTGAAGTGCAGGTAAAGACTTATAAAAATGCCTAGGAACAGATGCTTTTGGCCCCCCAATCAGGGTGATGTTAGTGTTGAGATCTGTGCAAATAGCCAAACATTGTGCCTGAGAACACTTGGTTGTCTCCTCACCATTGCTTTTCTCCTAACTATTGGATAATGGAAAGCTGGAAAAAGTCTCCATCGAGAGTGATTTTTGTCCTGGACCTGGGAAAACTCACCACTCTTGCCCTTCACCCCAGCTGTGAATTAATTCTGAAAATGAACAGTGTCACAGCTTGCCTTGTCCACCTTCTCCCTTTGAGAGGAGTAGAGGGAGTAGATACTTGGCTCAACTCAGAACAAGGAACAGCATATCTGCAGGAAGAGCTCAGTCATGGGCCTCTATAATCCTGTGAGGAGGTGTGTTGTGGCCGGTGTGGGTGGTTTTGATGGGAAGCTGCACCCCATCCCAGCTCTTATCCTTTTCCCTCTGAGGTGGAGAACTCCAGGCTGCCTGGGCTTTCTTATAGGGCTGCAAGCTGCTCAGATAACTTTTTTTTTTTATTAGTAATGAGAATGGGGTAAATTCTGAGGCTGGCCATAAATGCAAAGGTGAGGGTCTTCTCTAGTTCATTCCATCTCTGCATCATAAATCAAATGGTAATGGCTTCCACATGCCTGTTAGTGCACTATGTGGTGTTCTTGTTTAATCATCCCAATTTCCTTGTGTGATACTTATTGTTAATATCTTCAATTTATAGATAGGGAAATCAAGGCACAGAGAGTTTGAGCAATGTGCCTTTAGTTACCTAGCTAATAAGAGAGAGCCAGGGTTTTGTTCCAAGTCTGTCTGACTTAACAGATTCTTAGAGTGTTTGTCTAAAAGAAATAGGTTTATTTAAATGAGTACAATCAAAATGCATCCATGATTTTGCTCTCAGTCTTTCAGAAGGTGAAAGTTACCCCTATTCCTTAAGCAAATTGTATGGGAAAGCTTTTGTCTGGCAACAGTTTTCCCACAGTGAATTTTCATAATGCCTAATTACAAGCTAGAAATTTGTCATAAATCTTGACAAATACAGAGAGTGGTGGGGGTGGAGTTACCATTGTAATGAAGTAAATATTGAGCTGGGGGGGGGGAAAGAAATGCTCTTTCAGTAAATTAACCATGCCTCAGTGGTAGATTTTGTTTTTCAGGCCATTTGTCTTTCTTGAGTTTTTGTAGAGAATGGGTGAAATTCATCTAAGTCAATTTTCAAGAACACATAGTGCTGTTGTAAAACAAATGATAAACACTGATGCACTGCAGAAATAAAAATTGGCTGAATCTTCCGGGAGGTGCTGAAGAGAACTGGGACATGCACAGTCAGACATTTTAGAAACCTGGAATTGACTTTCGGTGCTTTTTCTTTTAGATTACTGATATAACTGCAAAAATAGAACTGAACGTGTGAATGAAGGAAGAGGTTAATTTCACAACTTTGGAGAATTGTTTCCCCCTCCAACAGAGCAAGGATGTTTTTAAAATGCTTTCCTTTACTAAAGGGAACACTGTCTGGAATCTGGATCTGAAAATGCAAAACAGATATAAAATGATTGACTTGTCTTTTATCAGGCAATCTGATATGATCTACAGTCTTTCATTTTTACCTTGTTTTCCCTTCATTGTCTACAGTACTTATGTCATTTTGATAGACTCAGCCAAGCTTTCTGTACCTATAAAAACACTGAACAAGATTTGAAAATATGTTTTCTTTTTTTGCAGAGAAGGAAAGGGATAAAAGGAGTTGGAGCTGCTGGTAGAAGAGGGAATGAAGTGGGAAGAGTCATTGTTCTTGGCTCCTTAGACATTAGACAAGGCAGAGGCTCTTTAATACTGGCAATTATAAACTGTGTTTCTTTTTTCCCCTCTTTCCCTCTCAAATGTTCATCTCATAAGACTGTATCATTCATAGCTCATAAAGTAAGGGTCAGGATTGGAAATTTCTGATCTGTCTGTGGTTAGAGACAGGTTTAGAAGTGCCATTTAGCTTGCTACTACCCACTTCTCTGTGCACCAGGGTAATTTTTGATGGGCTTGGTCATCTACTGGGTTACTGAATATCAGTATCCTCACATTTTCAAGTCCTCCTTTTCTAACTTGATCTTTAACATTTTTTAATGTGTTTTTTTTTGGTCACTGTGGCTTGGATATTCAATGTTTTAGTAAAGCATTTTAAAAAATTTAAAATGCAATGGTCTCTTTGAGGAAGAGTACCTGCCAGTATGGTTGAAACATGTAAAAAGGGGAAACATGTAAAAAGGCTTACCTGAAGGTGTTGGGCAGAGTCCAGATTGTTTAGGGCCTAGTAGGTCATGCTAGAGAGCTGCAAATGGTTTAAGTGCAATAAAAAGTGATTTCAAGGTTTTTGCAGGAAGTTGCAGGATCTGAATAACATTTTAAAATTAGTTGCAGATGGGAGATAGATTCAAGAGGTACAAGAATAGAAACATGGAAACAGGTCAGAAAACTATTGCCTAGTCTAGAAACGATGGCAATCTCACCTGCAGAGTGGCCTTAGGGATAAAGACAGTGGACAGATTGAGAAATTCTGCATAATTACTAGGACTTTATAAAGAAGTGTATGAGAGAGTGAGAGTGTAGAAAGTGTCAGTTATGATCTTGTAGTGTGAACAGCTGGGTCTCAGGAGATGGTACCTATGAAGACTGGCACAGTGAAAGGAGAGCAGGCTTGGCCACCTCAGATGAAATGCTTTTGAAACATTTGAGGAAATATGTCAACTTGGCAGCTGATGGCAAGGAAGTGGTATGTGAAGCCATGGATGTGATCGTGTAGGGAGATGTATGACGTGAAGAAAGCTCACCAAGGGGAATTCCATACTCAACCATGGGGAATTCCAAAATTTAGAAGCTGGGTAGAGGTAAAGGATCTAGTATGGGAGGTAGATAAGTGAGAAAAGAGGAAACCAGAAATGTTGTGATTTTTAGGATGACATAAGATGGTAGCATAATCAGGAGGAAGGATTGATTACCTATATTGAATGCTAAAGAGCTAAGAAATTATTTTAAAACATCAGAGAATTGGAATTGGTCATATGGAGTTCATAGATGTGAAATAAGTAGGCAAAATGCTATAATTCTTTAGAATTATATCACATGTTGACATCCTGACTAATTAGTTTTACTACTGACTAAATGAAGGCAAGAAGACAAGTACAAGCCATGTTATTTTCGCAAGTGACAATATATTTATAACTTATTTCTATTTTCATGAAACTGCATAGTGTTCAGGAAAACAATAATATACTATTTGTGCTGGTTTAAATTTATTTCCCTTTAAGTATAAAATTCTTGATCCATTCAGATTCTTCATATGTGAGTTTCCAGTGTCAAGGACAGCAGCTGCAATTGTTCTCAACTGGAGGTAGCTTTGTCCCTAGGACACATTTGGCAATGTCTGTGGATATATTTGATTGTCACAACTGAGGTATAAGTATGCCACTGAGTAGGGAAAGACCTAGGATGCTGCTTTACATCTTACAATGTACAGGACAACTTCACACAACAACCACTTGGCCCAAAATGTCAACAGTGCCAAGGCTGAGAAATTCGGACACATCTACTCAGTGCTCAACATAGGGTCTTGTTGGTGGTAGACTGTCAGCAGAACTCTTCTGTTAAAATCTCTAGAATGGATTTTCTGTAGAATGGATTGCCAAGAGGAAATGGGGACAAATAAACTCAATGCCTTCATGGGCTGTGGCACCAAAAGAAAAGAGTAGACTTCCTATAACTGAGACTGAAGGAGCCTAAGATGAAGATGATGCTGTTTTAAGCACCATGGTAGAATGGAGGGTTTATTGACAGAAGATGCACATCTACTCAGTGCTTCACATCAGGCCTCATCAGTAGTAGATCATCACTAGAGCTTTTCTGTCGAAGGATGGGGATCTCCTACTTTATTTTTCATGGTCTACCTATAGGTTCGATCTTTGGTTTTGGTTTTCAGGTGGAGTTTGTTTGTTTAATATAATGAAGTAAGAAATAAAAGTAACTTGCATTTGTATGAACTTCTGTGAATTAAGCTCTTTTGAAGCTTATGTCCAAGTCTTATAAAAATTCCAAAACATATATTTATTGTCACAAAAATGTGACAATAAATATATGTTTGTTTTAAAGATCAGCAGAAGAAGCATATGAATACAAATAACATGATAGAGAATTTTAAAATAAAAATAAGCAAAAGGCAATAGGAAATACTCATAATGTGTTTTTAATCCATTACCTGTGGATATTGCCTAAATATTCTTTTTTCCTTCTTATTTCTTCCTTTAACGTGGCTTCAAGTTTTTTACCCCTGCAGAACTAATTTTCAACAGAATCCATCTATATGTTTATAAATAGAAGACAGTGTTCTATCCAATGTTAGACTTCTTTTATCAGAACTGAAACCTTTATGTGTAGTTGGTTCCTAAGCTAAAGTATCTATTAGGGAAGTCTCAATATTAAAAAATAATTTTTAAATTTATTAGATTGGTTTTCTTAAAACCTGTATTGACCTCCTTCTTCTTTAAAAAAATAAAAAAAAATTTACTTTATTATAAAATTATATTTTTACTGTTAAGTGTGCATGTTTATATAACTGTAGTAAACTCCTTGATGCTTACAAACAAGGTAGGGTATTAAATTTAACCAGTATCAGTAAAGTCTCCTGTGAATTTCCTCCCTTATTAGGGTTTATTGTTTCTTTCATTTGCATTAAAATCCTACTACATATATATGTATTCCCCAAACAAGGTTTGAAATTAGAGTTTTTAAAATACCTGTGCCTGTAGAATGGATTGCAAAGAGGAAATGAGGACAAAAATCCTCAATGCCTCTTTAAGAATGCAGGTAGGTACATGCTGTGAGATCAGGTATCAAGGATGGGAGCAGTGGCACCTAAAGAAGGGAGTAGACTTCCCCTGTGACTCTCTGCAACTAAGGATAAATGAGAAGCCTAAGATGAAGACAACACTGCTTTAAGAGCAGGATTTATTGACAGAATCTCAGAAGGGAGTAGGGGACAAGCGGCACACATTGGTTTGGTAAGCTGTGCTTTCTTGAAGGGAGACTGTGACACCACGTTCTCTATCTAACTTGGGCTTGCCCCGGCAGTAGGACATCTCAAATTGGCCCTCTCTGAGCAATTCAAGATGTGGATATAGTGATTTTTTGAGAGAGCAGAACTGGCGATGAAGAGATTGGAAAGACTTTTGTGTGAGAGAAAAGTTGAAGCCACATGAAAAGAAGAAATGAGAAGGAAGAAAGAATATTTAGGCACTATCCATAGGTCATGGAAGGATTAAAACACACTATGAGTGTTTCCTATTGCCTTTTGCTACTTTTTGTTTTAAAATTCTCCATCACATTATTTGCATTCATATGCTTCTTCTGCTGATCTTTAAAACATACATCATAGGTTAGATTTTTGTGACAATAAATATATGTTTTGGATTTTTTATAAGACTTGGACATAAGCTTCAAAAGAGCTTAATTAGCAGAAGAACCCCAGCTGGCTTCAGTGCTTGGTAAAAATATGTCATGAGCAGACATCATTTCTAGAGCTATCGTTCTTTCTATTACTTTCTAGGATCCTAAATTTTCTTATATTTAAAATAAGGAGTTAGTCTAGATAAGTGTAAGAGCATTCAAAGAACTTTTCCTTTTGTGCGTTTCTTCCTCCAACCTTCATGAATCTCCTTCCTGCCTGTTAGCAGAGGATGGTTTTCACTCTCTTCTTTCTTCTCTCAAGCCCATTTAAAAGTTATGGGGCACATTCTCTTTCTTCCTAGTTCTGCTGGTTACTGATGTGAATGTGTCAATTCCGTGCTATAAGCAGGAACTCAGAGTGCACTGTTATTGGCATGCTATATTCATTTCCAGATGGTGTCTGCACTGGTGCTTCATTGCTTGGACCTGAGGCAGTGCCTGGACATGGACCGTGCAGGTACCAGGGCAGATATATGCTAGCAGGTAATATTATTATTACTCTCATAAATTCTATTTTAATCCAATTTATCAAAAATTCATAAACATAAATGAGAAATGTAAGACTGAAATTTTTACATTTGTTAATCTGAGATAATTTTCTCAAAGCAAATTTTTATTTTCAAAGCAATTAATTTCCTTTAATTTGTACTTGAATTCATTATGTTCTTCAGTCAATGTTCATGTGATTTTGTTGCTGCCTAAATACTCTTGGGCATATACTATGACTGCTAGTTGTTTTAAATATCCCATATGAAAAGTTATAAAAACAAATACTAAACCTGTAATTATAGATTTGCCTATAAGAAAACTGAAATTTTATTAAAAACATTATATAAGAATTTTACAATAACACAAACAAATGAAAACTCAGTAAGTGAAAAGCATTTTATATTTATAGTTAAGAGTGTGGCTCAATATAATGAGTTAGATTTCAGACTCCTTTTTGGTGCCCAACTTTTCTAGGGTTTCCCAATGAATAAAGATATTTGTGTAATTAAAATTCAGTTAATTATTGAAACTGAATTAAGATGACAGTGAACGAGCAGCCTCAGGTGTGTGGCTCTGCATTTTAAAGTGGTGCATTTAATGTTTATGCAAGAGTAAGATTTTTAAAAAGTGATTAGCACTTTGACTGTATAGCTCCTAATTTTTTTTTTTTTTTTTTTTTTTTTTGGTAACACTGCATAAGATTTGAAGCCCTCTTTGCTTCAAAATTTGACCTATTTAGAAAAGTTCTATAGTTTCTACGTAATATATTCTCTCAGTTTTGTAAGTGCCTTTGGGTAATATATTGAAGAGGCAAGCAGTCTCATCAAGCAACATAATGGACCTTATCACATTTCAAGATACATTTTTTCCCCTATTACTGCTGCTTCAAGTTTTGTTCTGTGTTTAATGATACCACACTCTACTGGCAAGGGGAGTTTTCCAGAAGTTTAATTCTCTTTGCATACAGTGCGGTTTTTAGTCTGGCTGCCATTTGCAGATCTTTTCCTTGAAATGAGGTGACATAATTTGATTTTTTACAATAAGGGAAAAAAAGAGTTTTGTTCATCCTGAAAGGATAGAGAAAGAAAGTCTGTGACTTGATAGAATGAGAAAAATGGATTGGTACCAGCTCAAGAAGGCAGGAGACAACTCCTGCTTGGATGAAAAGTATAATTGGTCTCTTAGTAAAGGAAAATCCTGGGGATACATCATTCCAGTGTTCAGCCAGGGAGAGCCCAGCTGCTAGAGGAAAAGGGTCCAATAAACCCCCACCATAATGAATACTTTTTCCTTCTTGGTAACTGTGAATGGCATATTTTAGTAGCAGATGTTAAATTTTGATGACTTGTCAAGAGACACCTGACAGGTAAGATACTCTTTACTATCTCTACTCTTTGCAACCCTTGAAGTCTCAAGAGACACTAAGTAACTTTACCAGGAACTCAGATATCTCCACCCTAAAATTCAGGTCTTCTTCGTGGTAGAGCTACCTCTTTTGAGATATGCTGACTTTTCTGAGCAATATTTAGGGTAAGATCTGATCTTAATTGGTTTCACACACTGTGGAAGGCTTCCTTTAGTAAACATCAGTTCTCTTGCTTTAACAATACCTTAATGAAGAAACAATGAACTGAAGGACATTTTAAAAGTAGGTTGTGTAAGACACTTAAAAAATGTTGAATAACACATACATTATTCTCTGTAAAATATTATGTGAACTAAGCAGATTATAAAGCAATATGTTAATATACAGGAGTTATTTTATCAAAATTAATTAACACACACTATAAGAAAATTTTTATTTATTTTTTTGCAGGGCTGGGGATCTACCCAGGGTCTTGTGCATGGCAGACACAAGCTTTACTACTGATCTATACTGCCAGCCTTAGCAATTAACTTAGTTTTTCACCTTTGACATATCTTCCTAAGTAAATATAAGTAAATGTAAATATAAACAAATGTCTTTCTTTCTTTCTTTCTTTTTCTTTTTTTTTTTTTTTTTTTTTTTTTTGGTACTAGGGATTGAATCCAGGGTCGCTTATCTACTGAGCCACATCCCCAGCCTCTTTTTTATATTTTATTTAGAGACAGGGTCTTGCTGAGTTGCTTAGGGCCTCACTAATTGCTGAGGCTGTTTCTCAACTCGCAGTTCTACTGCCTCAGCCTCCAGAGCCACTGGGATTACAAGTGTGTGCCACCACACCCAACTGAACAAATATCTTAATAATTATAAAGTTCTTGAGCTCTGTGCAATGTGAACTTTATTTCACATAAACAGTTTATGTTAAAACTAGACAGATCTTTGTCTTGGTTTAGAAAAGAAATATTCTATATATATTTAAGGAAGACAAAGTGATTTTATATATGTAATTGATAAAAAAAACTTCAATTTTTTTATAATGATTATGAAACAGCATTTGAAAATCCTGAAATCATCAATTATAGTTAATAGCTTATACCCATTCTTATATCATGGATTATAGTTATGGCTTATACCATTCTTTAAGACCCATGCTGAGAAAGTTACTGTCAAATTAAGGAGAGTTAAATTAACTTTTCTCTTTAAAACTGAAGTTGAAAAATATCAATATTTTCATTCTGTAAGTGAAAACACTTTTTTTCCTGAAATGTAGTTTTCTAAATAAAATATTCATTGCATAGGTAATATGACCATATCCTACACATTTTGTGTGAAATTACTAAAAAGAATATTCCCTCAAATTGATTCATTCAATTGGAACTTTCCTGCTTTTCAATATAAGCATCAGAATTACATTTTAAACATCATGAGCTGTTGTTTAAGTGTTTGAAGATAACAATGTATATTTTCTTATATAAAGCAAATTAATATAAATATTATAGCCAGAGTTGCATTTTATGATGAAACATGAAGTATTCTTGGTTTTTAAGCTTATGTTGAAAGTAATTATAGCAGAAAGCAATCTAGACATAGTACATATATGTTTATTCTTGCATAAAGTGATTTAATCCTCAGTTTTATTCCAGAGACTTATTTAGGTTTCATTTAGTATCCCACTGGGATAGTAAATAGCTTAATACTTTCTTTTATATTACTATCTAGGTATTTAAATGCAGAAATGGAGACAACACTTTGACTCCTACTGTATTTGAATGTATGAATTTACATATGTAAAAACATACAACAATAAATTTGTTTATAGAACAAAATAATATCTTATCTGTTTTTGTGACTTACTCTATAGAGACCGTGAAATCAGAATAAGTCTGTCCTCAAAAGAGAAGTGCCACCTTCTTCTCCCTTTTCCCCACCAGACACTAATGGTGTGAGTGAATGACGCAATGGAAAGTTCTTGTTAATTAGGTGTTCCTGATGATAAAGACTTAACATGTCTCGGTTTTCCTATTCCCTCTCAACCATCACCAAATTCAACATGTAAGAAAATGGATCTCATAAAAATCTTTGAGCTTAGTCATTTTTTGTGTATATGCATTTGACAAAGTAATTAATTCATTTAAATGATTTAAATGTTCAGAGACTATTGCTGTTGAAATCATATGTGCAGTTTTCTAAAATATAAAATATTAGGTGTTAAGAGCAGAGGTCTCATCATCAGTCTGATTTTCATGAATGGAAATTTAAGAGTTTAAATTTAAGAGCCAAAATGGTACAGCAATTAAGTAGAAAATGTACAGGATTAATAATACTCCAGTCTGCTTGTTGGCCTGCACTCTTGGGTCAGGGCTACTGATTTTATGCATGTAATTGCCACTTGTGATTTGTGCCCATATGTATAGTTCTCTAATCATGTATGGTTCCAATGGGGACTGACTTGGCATATGTAGTTTTTATGTATAGTTTTAGCTAGAAAATGTGAAAGAATTCAGATGATGATATCGGGTGTGTAATATATTGCTTTTTGATTAAGGCATTGTTAATGTGCATGGTATGGTTGGATCTGGGGCTTGGAGTATCACAGAAAAGACATTGGTCTCAGAGTCAGGAGGACCTAAGTTTTCACATAATCATTAAATATTTGAGTGACATTTGCAAACTGACTTTACTTTCCAGAGTTGGTTTTCTCATATAATATCTACTTTGTTAGGTAGTAGTGAAGTAAAATGATTTTTTTTTTTGTGGTATTGGGAATTGAATCCAGGGCCTCAAAAATGTGAGGCAAGTGCTGTGCCACTGAGCTACACTCCCAGCACATGAAAAACTTATGTAAAGTCTGAACCTAGCCTTTTAGAAGACCAAAAATAATTGATTTTGCCTTCATGAGTCCCAGTTTCTTCACCTATAATGTCTACTATGTAAGGTGATATCAAAGGTAAAATGAAATTATTGTGTAAAGCTAGAAACTAACTTTTTAGAAGGCATAGGCAGTGTTTGGTGTCTTGTACAGTATTTGAGGTTTAAAAACTGCCAGTTATTATTTTTATTAAGTCACTTGGAATGCTGGAAGGTAGTAAGCAAATAATCGTTTTATGCTCTTCTTTTTCAGAGTTCTGCATCTGGTTAAGTTACTAGGTAACAATAGTTAAAACTTCTGGAAGGTAGTAAGCAAATATTCATTTTATGCTCTTCTTTTTCAGAGTTCTGCATCTGGTTAAGTTACTAGGTAACAATAGTTAAAACTTCTGGAAGGTAGTAAGCAAATATTCATTTTATGCTCTTCTTTTTCAGAGTTCTGCATCTGGTTAAGTTATTAGGTAACAATAGTTAAAACTTCAGTTAAGTAACTTTTTCATCTGGGTTCCATTTTCCTACATATATAATATTGTGCAGTTTTATCAGTTGTTCTTTTTATAAATGATTTTTCCTAAAAGCATAGATTTTCACTGGATGCAGTAGCATAAAGTTGCCGATAGAAGAATGATAGTTTTTCACAGAAAGGCTAGAACACTGGTTAATGCAACTATTGAGTGTGTAGTAACTTGATTTCCACTGTAACATGGCAATATAACCTGGAATAAGGAGCTAAGGTTTTAGAGGTGGCAAAAGGGTAGCAATA